ACTGCAATTCTATTTGCTGTTGATGTTCACATCATGAAATAAGGCACAGCCAATCTGAACAGTTTATTCTTTCTTTATGTTTCAACAGTATTTTAGGTGGCAAAAATTTGTCAGACTGTATCTTGAGTTTTTGAGGCACAATGAATACATCACTGGCAGAAAAAAAACCTGCACAAAAAAAAAAAATGCACTGAAAAAGGAAAGGAAGGAGTAACTTGGTGCAACAAGGCAGATGAAGACTGGCAAATGGGATCAGAGGCTGCTCAGATGATGTGGGGAGGGGACTTGGTAGATCGCATTTTAATCATCATTGTGCCATGCACACTATGGCAGCAAGCCAAATAAATATAGCCTATGCCACAAACATACATACACGCACTTAGCAAACTGGAATTCCATTTGTTAAAATCATTTCTACCTTGACAGATGCTTCACCTCCACAAATTTACTTACATAAACCACCACAGTACTAGCAGCATTAAAGCATTTACCTGATGATGAAGTGCTAGCAGAAGTTGTAGTAGTGGTGGAGGAACTTGTTCCTGCTTCTGTTGTGGATGCAGAAGCAGAGGCAGCAGCTGCTTGCTGTTGCTGAGCCTGCTGCATTGGCATAGGAGGAAATGGGAAGGGGGGTAGACCTACAGGAGGAGGGCCAACTGGCATAGGCATACCAGCAAAGAGGCCAGCAAATGGATTGGCTGTTGGAAAGGGGGACATGGATTTATTAATTTGGTCTTCTACCTGTAACCCATATATCAAATGCATATTCATTTGTATATCTTTGGATCTATAATGACAAATCCTGAACACACAAGGCTGTGCAAACGACGTGTACCACATTAAGAACTGTTAAGGCAAGGAAAAAAATAGAAACAAATCAATAAATATATACAAAAAATTAGACATATTCTTTCTGAGTTACAAGAAAAGATCAAAACTACTTAAAAACTCAAACTCAAATAAAAAGAGAAAAAAAAGATCCACTTACGCATCTGCTGCTGAGCCTGACGCTGTTGCTGCTGTGGCTGTGGTGTCTGTGGCTGAGCAGGTGGGGTTTGGGCTTGCTGGGGATTGCGGGCAGCTGCTGCAGCACCAGCTGCACCTCCTTGAGCAGGTGGAGGCTGTCGCAGGATGTCCATGCGGCAAGTTGGGCAGGTCTGCTGACGCTGGAACCAGGAACGCAGGCAAGAGGCATGGAATATGTGGCCACAAGGAAGCTTCTTGGCTCCTGAAACAGCAGTAGAAAAGGAATGGTGGAGAATACTGGACAAAAGAACAAAATTTCTAAGGGAACAACATGACAAAAGGCATGGAAAGGAATAAGAAAATAATGGCAAACAGCCTAGAATTTTTCAATGAAGTAACATGTGAATATGAGCACTTATGACACCTGAAAGTGTAAACAGTCTGAAGCCATAACCATTTGATTAGAAAGTAATACATAATATCTAAAGAGGAATTTTACATTGGAGGAAACATATATTCTGAAAATTATTTAAAATGACAGGCAGTACTAGATACCAACAACCATTAACACAATGCCTCTAGGAGAAAATGGGGTTCACTTGGCCTCTGCTTTGGGGAGTATGCATAGCTGGCAGGAGTTGCCTCCGGGTCATTTTTCAGAGGTGGGTGTTAGGTAGCACTCACGACACCACATATGTATGATTTCAATGTTCTTGCATATTCACAGATGCATAATACACATTTCAGTTGTAAGAATGAACCTGCTATATAATATATATATATTACACACACACACACACACACATATATATACACATATATACACACAAAAAATACACAAAAAATGCAACAGGACTATTTCAATGCCCATTTACCTGTCAACATTTCCTCCCTGCATATGATGCAAACATTATCCACAGCTCTTAATTCCTCTGGAGTAGCATCGGGGTACAGTGTATTCATGTTGCGAATAGCACGGCGGGAGAGAATCACGTCGTTCAGCGCTCGTTTGAATGACCTGTCAAAAGAAGGCCTTGTATATAGGACAATTCAAGGATTTTACTGCATATCTTTAAAATATATCAACCTTAGGTACAACTGCCTCAGAGTGCTTCTTTATTCCATGTTCTGGTGAGGTCTTATTAACTCTCCTACCTACATAATACAGCTTACCACTGTGATGCCTGGCATACATCCCACCACTCACATCTGTCATTATGGTACCATTTAGTCAAAAGATAATTATGCTACAATGATAGTGCCACATTTTAACAAGTAACATAGAAGGTAAAGGAGCTTCTTTTCCCTCTATGGGTGCAAACAGAGTATATCAATTGCATAAAAAAATATTACAAAATAAACTTCTAAATATAATGAACCTTTGCACATGGTAAAAAAAAAATCTATACTATTTACAAAATAACATAGCTACAATGTGTGACTTATCAGTCTCCACTCTACATCTTAATACAGTGGAATTTACACAAAATGCGGTAAAAAAGGGTTAAACTAACATGACTCTAAAACAGGAAAATGTGTCTTCCATTGAACCAATATTCACCTTTGAAAATGAATCATAGAGGATTCAATTTTGAAGGTATTACTGTTTTTCTATAAAGCTTCAGCAACTTACCTCATGGTCAGGTACATGGGTCTTATGATGAACAATGGGAATGTATGTATTCTAATCATGATGATCATGAACACAGCATACAAAACCACCTTGACAAATCCTGCAAAAGAGGTTTATCTTAGAATATTCCAGTTATAAATCCGGCCCAAACTTCACTTCCTATAATAGTAATTCACAATACGTATACATATAGAGATACTCAAAACCACTTATAAAACATACACAGAAATAGAACAACTCACCCATACAAAGTTCTGTATACAACAGATACATAGCCTTATTTTCCCATGGGTTTTCTGACTGCAAATCGACTGTGTGACACACATATTTTACTCCTATGTTTAGTGCCACAGTAAGGAGAATTGCATACTCAAAGCCAAACACTAGCTGGACAGATGCCCCTCGTGTTATGGTAGAGTGATATGCATGGTTTACTAGCACCAGGTCTAGGAGGCTCAGCAAGAGTAGCAAAGCTGGAGAAGAAATACATTATTAATTCTAATTATAATATACTGCATATTGTTATTTGTTTCTATTTTTCTTTTTTTATCTATATTTCATATGAATAGATCTACATCATTCTCCCAAACATATGTTAATTTGACTTTATTAATTGCTAAAACCATGATCTATCCACCAAAAAATTATCTATAATCAAAGGCCAAAACACAAAAATCCGATTTCAAGACCAAAGCCCAAACGACACCCACATGTGACCCGAACGTGGAAGAGCAGGGTGATGACTGGTGAGCGCTCCATGAAGTCGACCCGGTAGTCTGCCAGCCAGTGGAATGCCTTTAGAAACAGCAGCACTGTGAACAGGGCCACAAACTTGGGGGAGAAGTCGTCACGAAACACAGTGAAGGCGAGGCAGGTCTCCGTGACAGCATAAAAGGATCGCTCAATGAGGTGCTGTGGTGGATTGAAAACGGCATTAACAATAAGACAAATCCATACAGAATGAGACAATGATCAAAACTTTATATGAATTAAAACTCCATCTAACTTCAATGCTCTCAAAATATAATCATACAAGAAGACATCACTATTAAACTTAAATTTTGACAAAAACTTTAATCATAAAACAAACTCCTTTACCTCAAATTCAGCTGCACGGAGTGCACCAAAGAACACTTTCTTCAGTAGTTTCCCCAGCAGTATAACCATTGTGAATGCTAAGAGGTATATTGCCTGAAAGTTAAGATAAACAGATAATGAAAATTAGATATATATATAGAATGAATAACAATAAAAGATACATTATGCCAACTAATTAAGCGTTACATATGTTGAAACTGTGGGTTTGACCTTTTTAACAAGGTGACAAAATAAGACAAATATAACAGTAATAATAATAACTATGATTAGTTCACACACACACACACACAAAAGCACTGATTCAGAAGATTTCAACATCCTGTCCTGTTCCTTTAAACAAATCTACCATTTCACTGCATTTAATGGTTTTCAGTGTCAACCCCCAGCTAAAATAAGGGTCTATATATAACATATAACTGATCACCACCTGTCAATTTATGTAATAAAAATCATATATCTCATTTCAGTTTACTTGCCTGAAAGAAAATAGAATAGTCTTATAGTGTAGCTACACCTTGTACATGCACATTATATGCCTATTCAGTTTTCTTTATATCTATTTACCATGATGCATTCTTGATTGGTCACTCTATTTTGGGATATATAAGAACAAGCATTAATCCTGAAATGATATGTAACCTCTAATTTTCTTTTACTTATGGCTGAGAAAATACTTAAAAATTGAGAAATGGCAACAACTAAAGACATTTCTTTATGATGATTATCAATGTTACCAGACATTTCAGCATTATCTTACCTCCAGCAGTTGATTTCACAAACTATAAGTAAACCAACACATGGCAATAAAAAGTAGGCTAGACCATGAAATCGCCCTGAGTATAGCATCTGATCTAATCGCAACCCTAAAGTGCCAAGAAGCCTGCTAATGATACCACGAAGAGACGTCCCACTCCACACGCACCCTTCACTGGATTGCCTCCCCCAATGCCTGCCAAACTTGTGTCAATTCAGCGACCAGAGTCAGGTGAACAGACAATAATGTTTGAGGGCATTTAACCCATTGCCGCCGGGGAAAATGAACAAAAAATGGGGAAAATTCTGTACTAATTTTTTATATTTTTGTGAAATATCTCTGCCCATAGATGGCTCTGCTAGTCCTAATTTCACCTTTCCTCGAATTGGCGAGAAAAAACGTATTCTTACTAGTGCTATAAATATAGGTGGGTTTTTTTTTAACAGGAAATTAGGATAACGTTAAATATTTTCGTAAATCGATGACAAGGGTGAATGGGCGAGACAGGCAGTGCTCGTAATTGGCTCATTGGATACTTAGTACAAGTGTAGCCATCTATCTGTATAAACAATCGAACAAGTCGGCTCACAGTGGGCATGGCATGTACGTACATGCCATCCCCGGCGGCAATGGGTTAAGCATTGAATGTATAAAGCCAGCTATTGAATACAGAAAATGAAATAATCTCTTAGCTGAGGTTTCACATTTACAATAATATTTGGAATGAAAGGAATAAGAATGAAGGTGAAGAAATATGCATTCCATAATTAATCATAGTCATCAAGCATTGCCAAAGACGAAGGATTGACTCATCATCTATATCGTGTGCCAGTCTATTTGTCATATTTATAAAAAATATTGTTTTTATTTTCTGGATATATATTCTTTACAATACACATCTGATTCATAATTGAATATAAAAAATAAATGAAATTATCATCACCATCATTATAATTATAATAATAATAATAATAATAATAATAATAATAATAAATAATAATAATAGTAATATAAAATAACAATAATAGTAATACAAAATAATAACAATAACAATAACAAAAACAACAATAACAATAACAAAAACAACAATAACAATAACAAAAACAACAATAACAATAACAATAACAAAAACAACAATAACAATAACAATAACAAAAACAACAATAACAATAACAAAAACAACAATAACAATAACAATAACAAAAACAACAATAACAATAACAAAAACAACAATAACAATAACAAAAACAACAATAACAATAACAAAAACAACAATAACAATAACAAAAACAACAATAACAATAACAAAAACAACAATAACAATAACAAAAACAACAATAACAATAACAAAAACAACAATAACAATAACAAAAACAACAATAACAATAACAAAAACAACAATAACAATAACAAAAACAACAATAACAATAACAAAAACAACAATAACAATAACAAAAACAACAATAACAATAACAAAAACAACAATAACAATAACAATAACAAAAACAACAATAACAATAACAATAATAAAAATAACAATAACAATAACAATAACAAAAACAACAATAACAATAAAACTGCATGGCTGTAGTACATACCTCCTTTTGGCACAAAAGAGTCAATTATATGACAGTTCTTAATGTTTTAAATCTGCTATTCTATTACAGAACTGTCCATTTGTTAATTTGCATAAACAAAATGAACCCCCTCCTAAACACAATCCTGTCACAAAATTGCCAACTAAAAAAAAAAAAAGAAAAAAATTCTTCTGTACCCCTGGAGATGTACCTGTATTGCTTCTAACTCTATTTTCTATGCTCTATAAGATGGCAGTGTCCATTTTCCTCTGTCTCTGTGCATTGCTCTCGGTAACATTGTCTATTTATTCACACATTCCTAAACAATGGGGTATCATGTGAACTCAAAAATCCAAACTAAACCTTTCCTACCTTCTATTTATTCCTCAAACAGGGGGGTAAGTCCCCCTGTAACCCTCCTTTATTAGCACTTCATACCAACTTACAGAAAATGGACATATAAAAAACGCTATTCATTCGGCATGCACACGCACCAACTCTTTGCGCACAAACATCACTACCCGAATCTTTCAATGACCTTGAGTTTTTCTTATTCATTTTCCTTGATCATGTTAATAACTTGATGATAAAATGAATCCACCCTGGAGCAACGGCTCCATCAAGGTCAGGAAAGATCAAAATTGATTCATATTGATCAGCATTCATGGGCAAGTTGAGCCTGTTTTTTCCTTTGAATATTCCCTGGCAAATTATATTTTCTCCAATAAGGGGCTGACTTCCTGCAACTCCCTGCCTTCCCTGAGGCGCCAACCCCGTCTAGTAATAGGAAACAAGAAACAGTCGCAAGTGATGCACTGCTGCTGAGGCATTAAGCTGGGTGATTTTCAATTAAATGTCAAACAAAAATTGCATCCTTCACTGTTGCCGGGAAAACAGCTTTTCAGTACAGGCATCCGGCACAAAGTACCGGTAAAATATCCCAGCAGAGACCGACGGCGAATCTCGAATGAAATATTGAAGACCCAATTATTGCATACTGAAAGTATGTTTGTGCGCAAAGAGTTGGTGCGTGTGCGTGCCGGATGAAAAGCCAAAATGTAATGAGATCCAGTGCTGGATCACTAACCACGGCGTATAAAAAATACTGTGTGAGGGTGTTGATATATAGCAGATATTTTTGTTATTTTGCAATAAATATTAGGACACAACAGCTGTACCTGTGTTGTTTATGACTATTTTTTATGCTGTGAAAGACAATGTCCATTTCCCTCTAACTTTATCTCGGTAACATTAACCAACCCTGTAAATATTGTGATTAACTTATAAATATTCAGTTACTGTATGATAACTAAATGCTTTACTGAGAGCAACAATTTTTCTTCACTTTCATGCAATTCAATACACCATATAGAATGAGAGTACATGATTTCCTATAAAGTATAATGGTGTTAATCTCATACTTTAAACTAAGATTCCTTTTGGTATTTGTTACTGAGAATGACACACCTCCAACATTAAGAACTCTAGCTGTGTGAGGGTGTTTGGACTTCTTAATCTCTGAGCAGTGATATGAAGAGGATATTTCTGTCATTTCATGGTAAGTATGTCGCAGGAGCAACTGTACCAGCATTGTTTATTACTCCGTGGCAGTGTCCATTTCTCTCAACCTCTCTGCGTCGCTCTTGGCAACATTAACCAACATTAATCTTTCTTTCCTTTAAATTTCTTTAATTTTACCATATAAATAAGCTAAATATATGATGTGCATTACATTGATGTGCATTACATTTTTGTGTAGCTAGTAGTAGACTGACAAGTTACATTTACTTAAGATTATCATAAATGCTTATATTTATCTACATGTAATTAACATATATCTATATTATTATAATTACTCAAATTAAATGACAAGTTGTGATGTATTACTTACATGATTCCCAAAGGTAATAATAATTTCATACATAACTTAATAAAAATTAAAATACTTAAAAATAAAAAAACAAAATACACGAAATCACGACACGCCCCCCCCCCCCGCCCCACGTAGAAAAAACAAAGAAACAAACAAACACATCCATACATCCTCTGACAACCGCCCAAACACAAGCCATTAGAACAGACCCAGTCTCTTCGCCAAAATCACAACACTAATCCTCTAAAATACGTATAGAGGGGGGGGGGGAGGTGACGAAAAGGGAAGAGAAGAGAGAATAAAATACAAAAACATTTACTTACCGCCATACTGGGGTTGGATTTCGTGATATAAACAACCGAGGGATAAAACTGTTTCTTCTGATAATATGCATTGCCTATTACAGCGGCAGTGAGGGCAAATGACGCCATCGTCAGCGCTCCCACGGGCATAGGAGCCGGCATTTTGGATAAATTGATCTACTTTATCCAACAAAAACCGTAGAATCTGGCGTCTGTGGAGGAGAAAATAGTGTTGTTTTTCCCGTCGCCTTTTCTTCACACTCGGCCTCTCAGCTGACACTCGGGTCGTGCATCTTTCGGCTTCGTCCTCTTATTTCCCTTTCTATGCTCAACAATTATAGTCCCAATTCTAATTTGGATATTTTTTCTGGTATTTATAGATATATTTCCGCTTCAGGGAGTGTACATATGACGTTCGATTTAAGTGCAAATTTCTTCGGAAAGTATATACCCTTTATTTCCACGTTAGGCAAAATGGCTCTTTCTGATTGGCTGACATTTAGGCGCGAAGTTCGCTCGGGGAAAGGCTGTTGAACCCTTTCAGTCTGCATTACTGTATCGTGATGATAATTGCCATAATAGCCCTCTGATATGTGTATTTATGGTTATGATAAGGATTATTAGCGTTGCTCTTACTGTCTTTGCTACAATCTATCGTTAGAGTTGTTGTTATTGCCAGTGTTATGATTATCCTTATCATCAATATTATCATCATTGTTATTTTTATTTTTGTTATTATCATCATTATTTTGTTATTATTATTATTATCATTATTATGATTATCATAACTTTCATTATTACTGTTCTTTAATTATCATTATTGATATTCATATTATTAATAACATTATAATCATTATTACTATTATCAATCTTACTATTATCATTGTCACTATTATTATCATTATTATCATCATTATCATTGTTATCATTATTACTATTATTATCATCATTGTTATCATTATCATTATTATTACTATTATTATTATTACTACCATTGTTATTGTTATTGTCATTATTATTGTTATTATTATTATCATTATCATAACTATCATTTTCATCAATATTATAATTATTATCATTATTATTATTATTACTGACATTATTGTTACTATGATTATGTTTATCATCATTGTTATCATTATCACTACTATTACTATCATCTTTATTACTATTACAATTATCCTCATTAATGTCATTATAATCACCATTTTTTTCTTATTATTATTGTTATCATTATCATTACTATTATTGTTATTATTATTAGTGTTATTATTATAATTATCATCATTATCGTTATTATTACTATCACCATTATCCTTATTATTGTCATTATCAACATTACCATTATCATCATTATCACTATCATCTGCATTATCATTATTAATTCTATTATCATCGGTATTATCATTATCATTTTTATCATCATCATTATCAATCATCATCATGATTATCATTATTACTATTATCGTTATTGTTGTTGTTATTATCATCATCATTATTATAATAATGATAGGAATAACAATGATTATTATTATCATCACTATTACTATTATTATTGTTATTAATGTCGTTATTACTATCATCATATCTATATCATTATTATCTCCATATCATAATAATTATTATTATTATCATTATTATCATTATTGCTATTATTATTATGATCATTACTATCATTATTATTATTATTATTATCATTTTAATTACTATTATCATTATTATAATCATTTTAATCATTATAATGATAATAATATTAATAATGATTATTATTATTGTTATCATCTTCATCATCAATGTTATCACTATTATTATTGTTACTGTTCTTATCAGTATCATTATAATAATAATAATTATTATTATTATTATTATTACTGTTATCATTATTATTATTATCATTATCATTATTGTTATTATTATTATTATTATTATTATTATTATTGTCAACATTACTATAATCTATTATCATTGTTATTATCATTATCATTATTGTTGTTATTATTATTACTATTATTATTATTATTGTTATTATTATTATCATTATTATTATTATCATCATCATTATTACCATTATTATTGTTACTATCATTACTATGACTAATATCATTATTATCATTGTTATGATTATTATAATTACTATTATTATCAGTATCATCATTATTCTCATCAATGAAAACAATAATAATGATAACAACAACAATAACAACAACAATAATAATTAAAAGAATGATGATAATAACAATAATAATAAAGACAATAATAATGATGATGATAATGATGATAATAGTAATAATAATCATAATAATAATAATAATGATAATAATAATGATAATAATAATAATAATAATAATGATAAAATGATTATGATAATAACAATAATAATGATGATGATGGTTATGATAATGAAAATAATAACAATAACAAGAATAATAACAATAGCAACAACAGCAACAACAATAACAATAATAGCAATAATGATTATATTAACAAAGATAATTAGGAGGAACAGGAAGAAGAGGAAAAAATAATGATAATAGTGAGAATGAAATCTGTGATCACAGAAATAATTATAATAATGAATGTACGATAGCCATACAAATGGTTAGCATCAACAGCACTATAATTTCTGTCGAGGAAAATATATATTACATTAGGATTTCAGGCTAAGATCTGTTCAAAATATGATGCTTGATAAATGTCGCATGTTTTCATCAATTTAATAATATCCTTATTAAATGGTCTCGAAGTGTTTTCGCCACAAGAACATTTTCT